AGTTTCTACGCAAAAATAAGCAATTCGGCTAAAGGATAAGAAAGCAGATTTTTCTGTGCACCAAAATTGAAACTTAACGTTTGGTCTCACTCGGCAAAAAGACACTGAAGCTGGTGCAGAAACTAAGTTAATTTACTATTGTACTAAGGAATTTCAAATATAAACAAATTGCGGTTTCATTAGGCTCAGTAGCACTTAAGTAACTTTTGGATTGTTGACAATTCTACAGCTATTGCATGCAGATTAACTAAAGTCATTTAGATACACGGCAGTGTGTCAGCCAAGTTCAGAACAGCTGGAAAAGAAAACAGCGAGATGTATATCTTGCACGAACCATTTCGAGCTAATTTCGACCTCTCCCTCCCCATTACTCAAAAACTATTGGACCTACAAACCTGCAATTTTGTATGTATAATAGAGCTCCCTTGAACACCTAAAATGCGAAATTTCATTAACCTATCTCTTATAATTGCGGAATTATTAAGGTATGAAAAGGGCTATTTTCATCATTCACTGACTGAATTAATTATTAAAAGCCTAGACCACTTATACTTGAAATACTTAATACTTAATAGACTTAGATACTTGAAATCTTGCATCAAGGTAGATCATTAGGCATATACAAAGGAAAAAACGTAAAACTTCAAAAAACTGCATTATTATCGAGGTTCAACCAAAGAATACTCATAAAGAGCATTTGACAACGTCACCAATAGATGGCGTTGTACCGATCGTCGGTTTGCGTACGCTCAGATGCTAATCAACTTTGCCGAAAGTGAACAATAAAAGCCTATTTATAATAGATGAAATGATATCGCTGAGGTAGAGTGAAGGAGCATTTATATTGTTTAAGAATTAAAAATAGCTGTTTAAACTTATTGCTTGCATTTTTACGTCCCTTTAAAAATCTAAAACTTCAAAAAACTACATAATTATCGAGGTTAACCCAAATGATATTCATGCCGAATGTCGACAATTTGATAATTAAGAAACTGCGAATAAAAAGAAACCAATGCAGCGTAAATGCAACATTTCCAATGTTATGGAAAATCTAGAAATTGCAAGTAAAAAGAAACCAGGAAAGCGTAAACGCAGCATTTCCACCGTTATAGAAAATATATAAACTTATAGAAACGTTATAGAAAATAAAATGAAACAGTGCAGCATAAAAGCAAGGAAAAATTAAGATCAGGAATTTGTGTAGACGCTTTTTCATTTAACCCTTTGCGGCACAGTGTGTCCGGTCTGGACACACCTAAAAATTTCCTTCTGTACGCACAGAAAAATTGAATGAAAAAGAATTTATAGGTTACTATAGGTTACTCTGAACCTTCTTTATTTAAAGTAGATGGCAGCTCAGCACAAACCAGTCCATATATTTTAGCCATTTTTAGGACCCTCATTTTTCAAAGAAATCTTCCAGATTTTTTTTAGGGTATAAAAGGAATTGTTTGAAAAGAAATTTCTATGTTATTTTTTTGGCTGTATGCTAATTTCCTTATTCTATATCAGTTTTAAATTTTTACCTTGAAATCTTCCCTAAAATAAATAAAACGGCGGACCCTAGGTGTGCCCAGACCGGGCTCACCGATAATCTAGGACAACTGAGAGTCTGTATTCTTTGTTTCTGCAACTCATCGTTCTGTTCATTAACAACAATGCTCGTTTTAGCACTCTTTTCGAAGCTCTATTCAATCAAAGTACCACATTGGGCACACCCCCAGAATTAAAACGATGAGTGCTATCTTCACAAAATTTTACTTGTGTACTCTTCTAGGCCTAATTAGACTGCCTACTTTTTTTTTTTTTTTTTTTTTTTTTTTTTAAATAAAAACTCTGATTTTAAAAGGTTGCGTGCCGGAAAGGATTAAGTGTCTAAATAAGACCATAACCTTTAATTTAGCTTTTCAAAAATAATGATATCATAGCAACAACATAAATGTGAAAAAGGGGCCAAGTTTCGGTAGTAACGACGTTTGGTTTAGTTTCTCTATTATAATGTTTATTCTTTTTTTTAGTCCAAGAGATTTGAATCCGAAGGACTATTAGTTTTCGTTTTGCATTTTTGCGTCGGACGGATAAATGTCGGTTCCACTTTTCAAACTGTTGCCATAAAATGTTAGAGTCCTGCATTATATTTGAAGAAATTAAATAATGAAAATCTGCGTAAATGTATGTATATTTCTCTCACATTGTCATAAAATAACGGTACATAGAGTCATCGAATTTTGAATAACGTAATCCTCCAACCGAATATGAGCATGTGGAAGACCAAATTTAAAATTTGAAATTTGTTTTTATGATCGGTTTCCTATTTTTTAAAACTTTGACGAATTTTTGATTAACAAACTCAAGGATTTCAAAGCGAGCAATGGCAACGTTGTGCAGAAAAAACATTTTTATCTCCAGCGCGTGAGTCTCTGTATCGGAAATTCTAAAGATATGCTCCTTTTAAAACTATTTTGCGATATTGCTGTTGCACTGGATCTTATGGTTTAAGTGCGAAGAACATGCTATTTAATAAAGAAAGGTAACACACAAAATGTTAAAAAACGCCCCTTTGGACGTAATTTAAAATCTGAAACATTTCAGATTTTTTTTTTCCCAGTTTTGATGTGTGTTGTTGTAGTGTTGTTACTTTTCTCATTTGTTTGACAGTAACATCATAACAAACCCACGAAATTCATCGGGCCAAGGAGCGCAAGATTGGACCTGTCGTCGGCAAACCCGTGGGAACCATACAGGTGACTGTACGACTTCGCTCAGTTCCACCCCCAATTTTGAGGAAGAGTACGCCCCCCCCCGGAAACACTACCAAAATGACCACCGACCACAGGATTTGACGAATCTCTCGGTGTAATTATTAGGACAGCAGGTAACAGATCTGAAAGTATCCCACCCTCCCCTCTTCCCTTACCACTAATCTCTCGAGAGGACTTTGGACGCGTCGCATATTTAGAATGCCGCATAGGCACTAGACATTTACAAACATGCATGCCTTCTCCGGGATTCAAACTGGGTACCGCAGAAGGCACCCCGACAGGTTGGACGGCTTTGATGTGTGTATTTCTCGTTAGACTGTTAACTCCTTTCATTTGTAATAGTCCCTTAACTCTCTATTTTAACTTAAATATTTCCCCTTTCTGCCTTGAAAATAGTAATTGCTTAGAATAAATCTCTCTGAATTGCATCAATTCAAAATTAATCCATGCCGTCTGATTCTTGTATGACGCTAGTGACGCAGGCATTTACATGAAGACTTTAGCCAATAATGATTTCACTTTGGGATCTGAAATTTTCCGTACTAAATTAGGATTACATGTGAAACAAAATCAATTCGTTTCGACCCTCTCATCTTAGAAATGTCGCATTCTCTCTCTCGCTTCTGTGCTCTTAACTCGATTGTTGCTTGCTGCTACTTCCTCCGTCGAAATAAATTATTTCAAAGATATTGTTTTAGTGTTTAGTGTGTGTGATTATGGCAAAGCCTGGAGGGCTATCTGCCTAAGATGATGCCTAAGATAAGGGAGGGATGCCTTCGTGGAGGACTTTCTAAGGGAAACTGGCTCGTATACACGTTAGACATGGGGAAAACCACGAAAACGCCCATGCAGCCAGCCCGTTCGTGGGATTCGAATCTCGGACCGAACTACCAGTGTTCAAAGATATTGAAAAGACACAATGACCGGCGACCGGCAATCTGCGGGTCAGGTGACAGCCTTTACGGGGATTGGTGTTCTTTGATTTAATTTTAATTTTGAAACTTCTGTAAACTTATTGCCGTTCCGTATATTAATGACTTGCTAGTTGATCGCAAGTGATAATGGACCTGTAGAACACCAACGGCCGACAAATTTACTAAACAGAAGTATCCTTGTGTTTAATTTTATTTTAAAAAATTCTAATTCATGTGCACCACCTCACACTGCTGACCTATATGTGGATTACGTATAAGTAGCTATCAACCTGTAGCTGACTTGTCATCAGCATTCTTGATGGTTACCTGTGATTTAATTTTGTGTGATTAATATATCTAAATGATATAATTTAAATACGTATAATTTACAATACATCCAGTTGATAGCTATTTTGATAAACATTTGCGACATTATTTTTAATAAAAACTGTTTCCATTGTTATATAGATATTTCTAGTGTTATTTTGATTAACATTTGAAGCATTTTCTTTAATAAAAGATATTTCCAGTGCTCCTGATACAGAATATATTTTTTTAAATCTTTGAATGACATACTTTTGCTTCAGAGTTTCTTTTCATTATATAGGTGCAAGTAGGCCATAAACATGCTATTTGCTAATATGTCGTTTTGTTTTCATTTGAAACTTTGATTGAGTAGATGATATTTTAACGCGAAGGGAAAAAAATGTTGTTGAACACTTTTGTTCCCAATTTAGAATTGGTCGCAATGCAGCAACCACATTCGCAAACCGAGTAAAGGCATGCAAATATTACCCTATGAAAATCAATTGCGTTTATCAGTAGAACATGAGAAATAAAAACAAAGAAAATAAAAAAAAATCTGCTTTAACTTTCAAGTAAAAAAATGTTAATACCAATCAGTAGTGATGAGTGGAATTAGTGTTTGGTTTTAATCTCAAATCACAAAAAAAAAAAAAAAAAAAAAAATATTGCTTTAATTTCCTTATGTTTAAGATAGAATAACACGCCGAACAAGTATTAGTTTAGAAGTCAAACAATAAAAATCAGCGTTAAATGAATTTTTGAATCACTTTTCATACAGTTCTGGATTCTCGTATTTTAATGCTTAATCTCTCTTTTTTGCATTTGCTGCTAAAGCACTCCTTTATCAGAATTCTCGCAACGAATTCCCGTTTAGATACACAATATGGATATGAAGCAATATGGATATGTCAAGGACAACATACACAGTGTCGGAGAAGAGTAATAAACAAGGAGCAAGCAAGGATAACAAAAATAGGAGGGAAATGGTGAACATCCATCACTCCTAAAAAGCACTCACGTAGTTGTCAGCCACCTCGGCACTTTGCCTGTGAATTCCATCATCCAACACAGAGATCCGAACACCACGGCCGGTTATGCCCGACTTCCACACCGGAAGCACATTGATATCATTTTCCGGCGGCGCCCCGGTCTGGCCCCTGTTGTGCTGAAAGAAAAGGAAATTTCACTTTTCATGAATTAGTCGTGGCGAAAGTGGATCAAGCGTTGTCGCGTTTTATCTTCTGAGGCGGAAGTTGACCTATACTGCAGGAAAACTGAAATGAAATATTCTGATATTCTAAAATAATCTTATTAAAAAAAAATAGAGAAGAAACCAAGGAAGGTCTTAACATATATAAAGTATAATAATTAAATAATTATTGACGTTACTCGGTATCTGATTCTGAAAAATAAAATTTAGCAAAAACTTATGATAATTATGCAGAATGCTTATATAATGAGTAGCATAATCCAAATTTTAGGTACAGAATCTTCTGTTGTTATTTCAAAATTTTTCTAATATGTAGTAGAATTTCTAATTTCCGGACTAACTAAACTGCAGCCAGTCTGGCTACCTGTAGCTCAAATACGTACTGACTCTAATGCAAGACAGATGATTTAATTTTTCTGCTATCTTGTCTTATTAGAAAATAAAATATTTGCATTTTCATAAAACAAACTATAATGTAAACCCATGTAGAATAAGGTAAAAGTTACTTGCATGGGTAGAGAGGAAGTTAACATAAGTTCCAGCCTACTATTTTTAGGAAAGGAACGCTTGTAATATTTAAGCAGTATCTCAATAAACAAAAATCAGTAACGTTATTTACAGTTTATAATTACTTTTCCGATCGTATACTCATTTAAATTAATTTATTAGCTTCTTACGAAATGGATGCAGTATTGTATTATAGCATCAGAGAAATAAGAAACAAAAAATTTTTAACAAATAAATCAAATATTGTATAAAATTATAATTATATAGCTTTTAAAATAAGCATTCCATATAGCGTATTCGAAATAAAAAAAATTAATCTGAAAGCTTTCAGAGTTTACATTACGCCCAAAGGGGCGTTTTTTAAACGTTTTCTTTGTTACCTTTATTTATTAAATATCATGTTCTTCGCACTTAAACCATAAAATTCAATTCAACAGCAATAGAATTATAAAATAATCATATCTTTAGAATTTCCAATCCGATCCGAACCCGAGCCCTTTTGTACCGCAATCGGCTTTCCTAGCTACTATACCATCTGGACGGTTGGTGTTCTGTGATAATGATGATAAGACGTAAGAGAAAATACAAATTAACTATATAATAGTTAAATCATTAGAAAGAAATTAAAAATGCTACCTATTATAGCAGACAATAAATATATAATGAACATGAAATAATTAATTAATAATCACAACACCTATAATATGAAAGGTTTTTAATTAAGAATATATTTATTGAAAAATCTCTGCTTTTCATATTAATACACATTTACGGATTTAGCACAAGAAGAAATGATACTTTTCCTCTCTAGGAAAAAAAAATCACTAAATTTTTTATATCACATTCACCACACTACAGTGCTGTGTAAGAAGTAAAATCTCATAGCAACAAAAATACAACGCACGTAATAATCTTTTCGGTGCTGTTACCAAAATGTAAAACAAAGGGTATGAAGGTATATCCTCTAGCCCAAGCAAAATCAAGATGTTCTTAAGCGAAGAGGAAATGATGCCATCGGAAGCCATATCCAATCACAAGGAGGGATTTTCCCCTCTGTGCGTGGTGCGGTACAGAATACTTATATGCGTTCCTCCGAGGAACTCTCCATCAAATTTGGAGGGGGGGTGGACTGAGCTAAATCGCACTGTCACCTGAATGGTGCTCAAGACTGTTGCCAACGGCAGGCGTAATCTAACGCTCATTGCTACGTACGAGGAATTTCGTGGGAGGCACTGAGTCAGCCCAAGCCCACGCATCAAAATTTAGATAATGTATATAATCCTAAGTATAAATAAATTAATGATGTGTTAACTATTAGAAAGCAAGGATTATACAAATTCATAATAGCAATCTCTCTTTGTACTAAATTACTTTAAAAGGCTCATATTAATCTTATCAATATTATTGGTCAGGAATTGTCTGTCCAAGATGCTAAAAGTTTTTGTAAACATTGCGAAGTATGTCAGTTTAATAAGAAAAGTAAACAAAAGAGATTTGGTTTAATGCGAACCTTTTGAATTATTATCTATTGATACTGTTGGTGGTTTAAACTATTATAATTATATTAAAATGTATATTCACTTAATTATTGATCATTCTACTCATTAAATATGAATTTTTTGCTTCTAAAAGTGTAACTACAGATAGTTACATAAATAGTTTAAGACAAATTTTTCAAATTCAAGTACCAAAGAAAATTTTAAGTGATAGAAAGGCTGCTTCTTCCAAATTTAAGCACTTTTTAAGAAATCATAATGTAAAACAATTATTAACTACTAACGGGCCTCAAACTAATGGTAAAGTTGAACGAGTTACTCAAACAAATATAATTAAACTGTAAATTAAATTCTTATCAGGCTAATATTGCATGGACAAAATTGTTACCTCAAGTTACTGAAGAATATAATAATACACCTCATTATGTTGCAAAATTCCCGCAATCTTATTTAATGTATGGAAAATTGCCTTATGGTCCTCTACTTGAAAATCAAGAAGTCTGTCCACCAATCATTTCTTAACATAGTCATAGTATTTAATTATATCATATATATATATATATATATATATATATATATATGTTATAATTTCCACACATTTGAGAGTATATTTAAGACTAATAAATGTAAATTTTTCTTGCTGAAATTTTAAATTCTGATTTTCAAGGAATATGATTTTATGAAAACATGGTATTATGTCTATAGATGAGATAAAAACAACATATCAGAAATTTTTAAGATATTGAGGAGTTTTGGTTCTCAGAAATAATTTTTAATTGAATGATTTGAAAATTCAGCTTCTACTAATCATTTTATAAAGCCAAATTCGATATTCAAGATCAAGTTTTGCTGGACTAAGTATCAAATCTTATTACATTACATATGAAATTTTAATGTATCTTTAATGAGTTTTATTGCTCTTGCATTGTAATGTTCAAAGATATTCCGATAGTAAAATAAATTTTTTATTGCGGAAATATAGTTTCTGGATTATTCTGAGAGTTCATTATTTAACGCAAATTCATACTCGTATGCACGGAGAAATCGCTATCGGAAGTTCCGCCGTTTCATATTCTACGGCCTAGTGCTCGTGACGTCACAGACCAGTCCGACGGCTTTATATCTAGGAGGCACTGGCTGACTATGTCAGACAAGTGAGTATAAGCAACAAATAGCAAACAACCAGAAGCGGTTTAATAGATTCATGCAAATGACAGAGCCTCCCAATAATTTTTTTAAATACTAAACATATGCTATATTTTAAAATGAACAGCCTAAAAATTTAAATGAAGTGAATCACGTAGTTCTTAAATCTGTTTCTACAAATAGTCCAAATGATTAGTTACTTCTACGGAAACACGTTTCTTTCCAATAACTGCAATAATACCTTCCTTTCAGATTTTTGTAGGGTTATGAAAGAGTGGGGAAGAACGGAAGAATACATTATAGTATTATAGGAAGAGAAGATCCATGTAAATTTCTTCATTAAGAAACGTTGGGCATACAAGGGGCTGAAAAACAGTCAAATGTTGTATATACCCTTCAGAAACATACAAAAGAATGTCATATTCAGTCATTAGAATCAATACGTTATTTCCTACTCACACACACACACAATAAAAATTGTGATTTGCCTTGAAAAGTAAGAAATAACGTGCTTGGATCTCAAAAAAAAAAAAAAAAAAAAAAAAAACTGAACCTTATCGTATGGAGCAGAATAGCATGGGACGTAATGCTTACTGCCGTGATGGCGCTATTGCGTGTGCTCTCTTTCTGTTTGTTAGCACAGCCACAGATTTAGTAGTCTTTTTCTATAAGTCTGTTATTTCTATATGTGGTATTGGGATGAGATTATAAAAGGTTTGTGAATAGTTTTATGCTCATGAATTTGGAGAATTTGAACTTCTTAAAGACTAATTGAGATGCATGTGAGAGATTTAAATTTTCAACAAATAATCAAAACATATGCGATATTTCTGTTGAATCCAAAACAGCTTACTTTGTCATTTTCGTACGCGGTTTGCGTTCCGTTCTTAATCCCGAAAGTTACGAATGCTTGAGTTAATCCATCCTTTCTAATTTTGTAGGCAGTTTCAAACATTTTCACTTAACTTTCTTATACTTTAAGCTTATTAATGGAAATCATTTGCTTTAAATAATAAGATTCTGTCGTTATTTCTAAAAGTAATGCAAAACATGTTTTCAAAAAAATATTAAGAAACACCAACAGATAACTAATTCGATTAGTCTATGTAACCCACCCGGGTGTCCGGACGTCACCTGTCAATAACTAATTGAAAGATATTGCGAAATGCCTTATATGATTGGAAATATCATCTAATTAGTTATCAAATAAGCGTTTCAACCTGTACATATCTGTAGATATTTGAAAAATTTATAAGGTATTTCTCTCGCCTTCTTAGCATGCCTTAAATAATGGCCAGCACACTCTGAGCGTATTCGAGAGGTCCGAGGTTCGAGTCCCGGCGAGGGCATTGCTCATTTCTTCAGTTTCATGATATTAAAAAATTCAAAGTTACTCCACAGTGGCGCCCGAATTAAAAAAGATGTTGGACGATGATTCTCCCCCACCAGGATTTGGCGATTGGCTTCCCTAATCCCCAGTCGCCCTTTAAAAGGGGGAGTATATGAGGTATTTATTCCACCCTCTTAGCATGCCTTCGTGGTTTAATAGCCAACACACTCGGCGCATATTCGAGAGGTCCAAGGTTCGAGTCCCGTCGAGGGCAAGGCTCCTTTTCCGTGGCTCCTGTTTCGAAATAACCTAATGTCTCTACAAATTCTATATTCTTTAAATTACTTTGTAAAAAAACCGTATGAATCCTCCATATGTTTACATACTTTTTTTCTAAAATTTGTATTTTAAATTTATTTTTTAAAATCGATGATAAGGAAGAGAAGTCTGAAAATTAAATTAAGAATTCGTTGCTAATATCATCGAGGTTTTTTTTAATCAAAGTTATTTGAAAGAACGTTCTGACATGTATTTTTTGCATCATAAATATGTTTTCTCCTAGTTTGGATTTCACTTAATAGTCGCCATAGGTAGCCAGTAAATTACTTTGTGTGTTGCTGTTTATAATGTAAATGCAATGAAAATTGGCCAAATTTCATATTAGTAAAGATAAAAAATGATATGAGAGCAAATGGTTTTCTTCATGGAAATAAGTTTCCAATGACAGCTGTCTGTTCATTTGCTGACAGCAACAAGTAGATGGTATGTTTGCTCTTATTTATAATACAGTAAACCCTCTTTAACACGAATCTCAAACGAAAGAAAAATCAAGAAATCGTGTTAAAAAATCCATGTTAAGTGGTGACCCAAATTTTATTTTTGGAATCCTTTTTTGTACACATTAACCATTTATAGTTACGTAAGTACTGCAGCACTTACTACAGCAGATATCGTCGCAGGAACCACTACAATACTAGATTAATTGCAGCTTGAAGAAAGATCTCGCAGATAATTTTTGGTGAAAAATTCCCGTTCACTGTCGCAGACGAGACCGAAAATGCCTGGTAACTTCACGATCAGCTGTACTCACAGCTTCAGAAAAACTAGCAGTAAACGTGGATGATGCAGCAAAAGTTCACAGTGTCCAAAGCATGTAAGCTTTTCTGGCGGATGAGCAGAACAATATTGTCCGTTTCACTTTCTTCTGATGACATTTGTTGCACCTCAGACGTACCTGCTTGTACAACAGATACCACTGCAGCACATAACGTCGTTTGCACTAACGAGCTGCTCGAAACTGACACCGGGGTTCGAGACTATTCCATTTGTCAGGTGAAGTGATAGCGTTGTCACCATCTAACTCGTTAACACGATTAGCGTCTTATGTTACCAAGGTCTATTGAAACAATTCTATATGTGTTGTGATGACATAGATATCCAGGGTTCGGCGATAGCTTTTATTGTATCAAGCACACTCCAAGTTGGCGATTTTGCGACCTTTTCAGCAGCTTCAATTGCAGCTTTTATAAATCGCTTGCGACAAGACCTCTTCATGACTTCAATAAGGCCTTGATCCAAAAGCTTGAAGACGGCTTGTTGCATTTGGGGAAAAAGTGAACCTTGGTTAAAATCAAATCATATATATTATGGTCTGTACAACTGCCCAATGTCATAAAAAAGTGCTTATTCTGAGCCATTATTCAATTACTAAACCGACGAAGCCAAAGAATGTCTAATTTGTTTGCAACCATGTTTGCTTTTGACTGAATTACAGGTTCACTAAAGGTACATAGGAAGCACGCATATGATTTAACCGTTCTAGAAGTAAAGTTTCGACTTTGCTGTACTTGGCACTGTGAAGTCGTTCTCGTAAGCTGGTGCTATTAAGAATTTTTTCACGATTTGTGATTAAGGTAAATTTGACAATTCCATACTTTTCGGTAATTGTACACCGTCTACCTTCTCTGAGACATTAAGCTTTGTTTTCATATCTATATCTGTCTTCTTCCTGTTGGTCATGAATCGTTCTGTTTTACTGATTGTAATTTAACGTTAGTTCTCGCTCCCTGAAAGCTATCAGAATGCCATCTATAGGTTCATCGAACAGTGCCACCAGAACTTTCGGAGAATAAAGACATAATGGCGCTCTCTGAAAATTCATATGTAATTAAACTGCAGTCCAGTATGTCTATGTGAATATTTTATTGTAAATGCAGTTCATTTAAGTTTTAACTAGAATTATTCATATAGTATGCTGTGTCCGAGTTTTAGAAAGAAGAGAAGATAGTAACTCGCCCTAGTGACCATTCGAAGAAGAAGATTAGTAAGTAGTTTTGCCTTATAAGGCTCTTCTCCCGCCTTCTTAGCATGTTTTCGTGGTGTAGTGGTCGGCACATTCGACCCGTATTCGAGAGGTCCATGGTTCGAGGCCCGGCGAGGGCATTGCTCATTTTTCATGTCTCCTGCTTCGAAATAACCTAATGCCTCTACAGTGGCGCCCGAACTAAAATGTGGTGAATGATGATTCTTCACCACCAGGACTTAGCGATTGGATCGCCTAAACGCCAGTCGCCCTTTTTAAAAGGGGGAGTATACAAGGTATTTCTCCCTCTTTCTTAGCATACCCTCGTGGTGTAGTGGCCAGCATGCTGGGCGCGTATTCGAGAGGTCCGTGGTTCGAGTCCCGGCGAGGGCATTGCTCATTTTTCATGTCTCTTGCTTAAATAACTTAATGCCTCTACAGTGGCGCTCGAACTAAAAGAGTGGTGAATGATGATGCTTCACCACAAGAATTTGGCGATTGGGTCCCTTTAAAAGGGGGATTATATATTTCTCCCGCCTTCTTAGCATCTTCCGTAGTGTAGTGGTCAGCACGCTCGGCGCGTATTCGAGAGGTCCGCGGGTCGATTCCCGGCAAGGGCGTTGCTCATTTTTCATCTCTCCTGCTTCCAAAAAATTCCTAATGTCTCTGCAACCTGATTAATTCAAAATAATTCAAGCTTTAACTTTAGTCGTACTAGCGAACTTTTTAAAAATAAAAAGCACATCTGACCAGAGAATTGTATTTGTTGATTGAAGCTCATTATTGACGGGATGATAGTGATTGTTGGGCATTGCTACTCATGCTGGCTGTGTTTTGAAGAATACAGTTTATTCTGTGATGTTTTTGAATTAAACGGGATAGAACATTTTTAAACGCAGCTCTAGCAGAGAAAAACAGAGAAAAATTAGCAAAATTTTGAGAGTTCGTTTTAAATGATAAAATCTAATGACGCAACAGACCAGAAAACAGTTCGTAATTCGTGCTAACCGAAAAAACTTCCTGTAAGATTATAAATATCGCTGCCGCAACCGAAATTTTGTGCATGCTAATTGAATGTTTGTTAAGAGAGCTCGTGTTAAGAAAGGTTTACTGCTTACTCATATCATTATATTAAGACCCATATATAAAAAGAATACATTTAAATAATAAAATTTTAGATCGAGATTTAAGAGTTTAAATGCTAGCAAAATCGATCGTTTACTATTCAGTAAAGTCAAGAAAAAAATTTATTTTTGAAAACTTTGAATGGTTATTTACTGTTTTTCATTCTATTTCGCACAAAATAACAATGTATAATGTATTTCTCCCGCCTTCTTAGCATGCCTTCGTGGTGCTATGGTCAGCACGCTCGGCTCGTTTCGAGAAGTCCGTGGTTCGAGTCCCGGCGAGGACATTGCTCATTTTTCATGTTTCCTGCGTCGAAATAACCTAATGTCTCTCAAACTGCTTCAATGGAAAAAAATAACAATAAAGATATACTGACATAAATATATTTTTCAACATGTGCCATTATCTCAAACTAAGATATGAATAATTTGAAAGTAGTACATTTTTTTTACAAAATAAAACGCAATAGAAAAAGTATTTTTTTACCAAGTACCACTGTTCTTCAAAAAGAGGATCATTGAAGATTAGAGGCTTTCTTCTGAGTGTCTTTAAAAACTTCAAAATGGGACTTTTATCTCTGGCAGTTAAATGTTTTTTATGAATATCATTATGGTAGAAGCGCTTCACTTCCGATCTCTGCACTCGATGCAATGATGTTTGTTGTGCTGCCCATTTCACCTTAAAAATACAAAATTTCGTCATTTTCGAAGTGTATAAGTACCTTTAAGTAATGTAGATAAATAGATTAGAAATTCACACATTATGGCGAGATTGATTTAAGTTTAATTTTTGAGAAAATAGAAATATCTTTTGGCGTATCATCAACAGTAAATGTTAAAATATTTCTCAAAACTCTTTCTTTATATTTTCGCTACTAATCTTGAATAACATAGGCAGATTTTTTAATCACATCTCAAATTACATCCATTGAACATGATCATTTTAAAAATAACGGTCTTTAAATGTCGCAACCACCTTTAGATAGCCTCGAATTGGAGACCTGCAGACTCCAGAAAGAGAATATTTACCTCTTTGAACGGGAGTAGGGAATATGTATCTCGCTTTAGAAAATATTTACCTCTCTGGAAGCCATCTAAATGCATCTGATTCGCACTGAGTCAACTGACCGCAACTGCACTAGCAAGTTAATAATAAGCTGGGCCTCCTCTGGTCTTAATAACGGCTGCCACGACGAAACAGAGATTCAAGAAGTTTGCAATGGCTTGCCAGCTATCGGCTAGAGCTCTCCATCTGTTCTGAGAAACTATTGTTCTACTCACAAGTTAACATCACCAACAAATGAACACGTTTGTTGTCACCGTCAACAACAACATCGTCAAAATTAACCTTTTTTTTATTATTTTAGTTTATGTAATCGTCAAATCGACGTGTTAATGAGCTTTTTTAATTGATGTTTTACTTAACTCCAATTAAAAAAAAAATCTAAGTTTATAATCTGAAACAGCAGTCTCCAACATTTTTCTCTTTCGTGTACACCTTGGTGGGACTTAATTATTTCGGGTATTCCTTGATGAGACGGACAGATTCTTTCTTCCGTGAGACAGCTGTAATTGTAGAGTACCCCTAATTCCTGCTTTAAGATAATACAATCGACTAACTCTCCTTCATTATTCTCGCAGTACATTTATTTTAATGCATTTAATGTTACAATGCATTTATTTTAATACCATAAAACTAATAAATGCACTAAATACATTGCTTTTAAACACATTTCGGATGGTACATTCACAACGGAAATAGTCAAATTATTTATTTTTCTGATTAATGTCAAATTGAAAGTTTCTCAATATTTTAATTTTCATCAACATTTATTATAACACTTTTCTGTCTTCTGACATTACTGATAATTTTTTCGCGTACTGCTGATTATGCGGTCCCGAGCACCAGGTTAAGTGTCGCTGATTTAAAAAGCCAGACGAGGCGAAAAATTCGTCCGGTAGACTTTTAACGACTAATATGCTAAGCTGTACTTTATATAGAATTCCAGGCTAAAGAATTTCCTTTGTAATTATCTGCACGAACTTTGCTTTGTTTCATTTCATTATACAAATTATCTTAGGTGTGTTCTCAATTTTGTGACTAAAAAATCTGATATGTACACCACATGATATCCTTGCACGGAATACTAAATTATACGCATTTTTTCCTGCATTTCATTGAAACTTATTAAATTGAATTAAATCTACTTCGTCAGTAGCGCATAAACTACAATAGAATAAATGCACTCTTTAAAATTCACTATATTTATTTAACAAAGCGACACTCTGGCGTTAGGTTCACTTAACAGAGTTACATCTCATTCATTGTATAACTCAGAATGCACAAAAACTATATCATCTGAAGAATTATCAAATCGTTGCCACATGCTCTATTCAAATACTGTACTAAATCTAAAACGATGTATAAAAGAAATTAAACAAATAAAAAAGCAACAGTTTTTCGCGGACGATTCAGCGCCGATTTTTAATAATTAAAATTATTAAAAACTTTTAAGAAAATTAAAAGAAGTTTAAAATTTTCAATGGTATGCATTAAAATCGTACATTTTAATAAAGAAAAGGAATAGTACATATATAAAAATAAATTAGGATAAGAGAGTTAGTTGACTTATCAAAGGAAATTCACCTTCTTCCAAAAATTCGCAATAATTTGGACATCTTCGCATTTCGTATTCTTCGTATATTTGAATAGATTCTTTTAATCACGAAAAAATAATATATAAATCTTGTATTTAAATGAACAAGTAAGCATTTTCAAATGTAAAGGTAACTCTCCAAAGCGATTAAAAAAGAACATATTTACAAAAAGATTGTTATAAAAACTGATGGGGAATTTAGAAGTTTCAATGCATATAAAACCAATGTAAGAATATTGTACAATTTAAACTATTATATAATTATAGCGTCTTAATTAAATGCATATATAAAATATAATATATACATATATAATTAAAAAGAAGAATTTACGATTTGAAATAAATGTTTTTTTTTTTTTTTTTATTTATTTTTTTTTTTTTTTTATTTTTAGAGCTGCTTTAGTATTTTCAGGGCATCGAAGCATTTGCGTTAATTCAAGGAAAATTCTTTAAATTCTTACAGACAGATAGCGTCCTTTAATTATACCTATTAAGCATAATCTACTTCCAGATCGTTGAAAAATGATACAATATATAATAAGGATTTTACTAATTTTACGATCCTAGTTTTCAGGCGGAATTGCCTACGAGATAAAAAATGTTATTTTAATAATATTCGACACATTATTGTAATCTCATGTACTAATACAGTATAGGAAAAGGAAGTACAGTATAGGAAAAGGAAGTATAAATAATTAATCATGTTAAAACCAAATGGAAGTTCAACAACAGATGCAATTTAACAACAGATGCAATTAAAAAAAAAAAAAAAAAAAAAAAAAAGGAGAAAGTGTTCTTACCGATGGATGCCTCACAATTTTCTTCAGAACGTCACGTGCACTTCTACGGCATCGTTTGCAGCTGATGGAGTGACGAAACAGATAATAATCGTCATCTTTAAATACCTAGGAAATTACATGGAACTCTATTTAATTTCAATCTTTTGCAACATGTATACTGAAATACTTATAACGTTTCCATGTTCTTTCTTATTTTTATTTTATATTACGGTAAAACATATATACAATGAAATTTATAAACTGTTATTTTGTTGGAAATATAAATTTCAACAAATCATATCAACTTGGATAAAAGCTATGTATCATTGCTATCTCGCCATGTTTGATAGAACAGCTGAAACTGCGTCGGACCGTGGCTACAATACTTATATTAGGTTTTTGAGATACATCATAATTCTAGCCGAAGCGCACAGAAGCCCTAAATAAAAGGTCTCTGATATTTCGTTTATGTAACTGAACCACAATTTCAGTATAAATTTTCTTTACTCTCGAAAATTTTATTTTAATAATATGTAAGCCTTAAAAATCGTTTCAATTTTTTAATGCGTATCTGTCTTTTCCTGGGAAACAGACCTTTGGATGAAGGATGAGATTTTTTAGGAAACAAAAAGCCCCCCACCCACATTGTCAAAGGCTTATTCTGCAGGAAGTAAAATTATTCTCGTAAATTTATGCGCTTCATAAATTTACGAGAGCTAGTAAATTTTTCATTGCAGAAAATACTAGTACTAATCACCGTGGTCGTGCACATCCACGTGCTAGTTACTTCCCACGGAAAACAAACTTGCCAAATATTTTGAAACAATGTAACCAAATACAGTGGGCAAAAATTACCATTTGTAGACCCGTTATGTTTGTTCTCATTTTACAGATCAGCGCTCGGATTTGAGGGTGGAATTGCCCCTTCACAATTTGCCTGACAGCTAGAATTGTATTGGCAGAGAATCGTGGTCAGAAAGTGTTAGACTTTTATTTCTTTGCTTTTAAATTCCAGTTCAAATTTCCTTCCATATCTCACACTGTACGTAACATTCAGTCTATTTTCAAATAAGGCATTTTAACCGTTTTATCTTTTTTTCATTGGTGTGTTGGAAAATGAATAGTCTTCATTTCTATCATCCTTTAAAACGCTAATGGTATTATATTAACTATATATTAGTTTAATTTCTAAGAAGGCTGGGTGAGCTATTTTTTAATTTCTAAGTGACGTTAAGCTCTAGTCCAGTATAAAACGATGTTATGGTAGTTTATTGTTTAACTATTCGTCATTAATTTAATCGCTATTCATTACATTCTAGTGAAATTTAATTTCCTTTAATGATTAGTCCAAAAGGGCTTTGTTCCTGAGGGACTATTATATTCTTTTTGCGATTTTGCGTCGAATCACTCTGAATGTCCGTTTTTCTTTTCAAACTGTTGCCACCATATTGTTACGAAATGTCCAGGCGCGATAAGATAGCTTCTCCGCAAAGCAGTTTTAGGGTTGCCATAAAATGAAAAAGGAAGACAATGTTGCCACATTGTTTGGCGAGAAATCGCCCATTTGGCGACAAAATTCGCGATACGCCATGGATGGATGGAGAACCTTCTGGAACGAATTCTTACCGGTTTAGACCAGAATGTTCTCGAACACAAGCCAAAAGCTATATAAACCCTGCTGGTACGCGGAGAGTCAGTGTGCGAAAAAGTGTGTCTCATCTAGTTAGCTCGTGCGGAGACGATCGAGTTGACAGCCGGCTAGCGAGTGCCGAGTGGGTCGTCGAGTGCATCGAAAGAATCTCTTAGTGTATCGCGGTTAGTGCATCGTTAGAGAGTGTGTTAAGCTCCGGGAACGACTGAACCGAAGAGTCGGGAGCTGTGCTCCTGTATAGGGATCAGTTGCTTCTAATTTTAGAAATTAAGCCTTGTTGCACATACTAACCTGACAGCTCGAAAACGTTCAGAGTAAGTACTTCGAATTCCTGTATAATTTGAAATAATCGAATAAAAATTTAAATTTGACTGCTATGTTTTCATATAGCAAAACTCAACACCGAATTTTAATACGGAAGGATGTTGTTTCGCCCTCTGAAGGAAATTATGGCTATGTAAAAAAGGAAGTTCTTCCAGATCTGCATATCATGGAAGTTATCGATTATTTTTTTTAATTACAGTAACGTATTGTTAAAATCTATCGAACATGCATGGAATAAGCTGGAAAAAAGAATAACAACATGGCAGTTCTTCGAAAGTTCTGTTAAAAGCAATTCTTACAGATAAAAAAAAAAAAAAAAAAAAGGAATATTCTTACTCAAAACAAAAAGTGTAATTTCACGTAAAAGTTATGTAACAATGTATTGAATGTCCCTTTATTTTCATGTTTTTATTAAACATAAACTGCTTGTCAAAGTATCCGAATACTTATGCGAGTTCATTCTCATAATTTTTTGACTATTTTATAACGTATTGTTTATCCGTACAAAACTTGATTGCACAAACAAATATTGTAAACAAAATATTTTCCAATAATATTTTGACAGTTTTCAGTCGCTCATAAACATAACACAGAGCACAGCTCCCGAAGAGTCGGGAGCTGTGCTCTGTGTCGTCGAGTGCATCGCGATTTGTAGCGTGGAGAGTTTCGGAGCGTGGAGAGTCGGGAGCGTGGAGAGTCGGGAGCGCGGAGAGTATATTTGTAGCGTGGAGAGTGGGGAGCTGTGTTATTTTTTTTAAATTAAAGTAACGTATTGTTAAAATCTATCGAATATTCATGGAATAAGCTGGAAAAAAGAATAACAACATGACAGTTCTTCGAAAGTTCTTTTAAAAGCAATTCTTCCAGGAAAAAAAAAAAAAAAAGAAATAGTCTTACTCAAAACAAAAAGTGCAATTTCACGTAAACGTTATGTAACAATGTATTGAATGTCCCTTTATTTTCATGTTATTTTATTTTCTTACTCAAAACAAAAAGTGCAATTTCACGTAAACGTTATGTAACAATGTATTGAATGTCCCTTTATTTTCATGTTTTTATTAAACATAAACTGCTTGTCAAAGTTATCCGAATACTTATGCGAGTTCATTCTCATAATTTTTTGACTATTTTATAACGTATTGTTTATTCGTACAAAACTTGATTGCACAAACAAATATTGTAAACAAAATATTTTCCAATAATATTTTGACAGTTTACAGTCGCTCATAAACTTCTAACAAAACCTTTGCTTTGTCAACGGCAACTTCCGTGCAATAATTTTATTGTCGTGTGAAAGCAGAATGCTGAAAAATCGTGAAAAATGGTTTATTTTATAAAAGTTTCCAGCAGCTCACATTTTTCAGTTTTATTTGTAAATATCAGTTACTAAATATTACAGAAATCACTCTGTTTTTCATGTACACTATTCATCATCTTTTTTAAAACCTGCTTGTTTCCGAAGAAGTTACTCAAAGCGTTTATGATTTAAAAAATAGTCAAAAAAATATGAGAATGAATTCTCATAAGTATTCGGATACTTTGACAAGCAGTTTATGTTTAATAAAAGCAGGAAAATAAAGGGACATTCAGTACATAACTTTTAGGTAAAATTGCACTTTTTGTTTTGAGCAAGAATATTCATTTTTTTTTTTTTTTTTTTTTTTTTTTTTCTGTAAGAATTGCTTTTAACAGAACTGTCGAAGAACTGTCATGTTGTTATTCTTTTTTCCAGCTTATTCCATGCATGTTCGATAGATTTTAAGTCCGAAGAATATAAAGAAAGTTTCTACAATTTCAGGACAGTTGTGTAATACATTTAGGACAAGCAAACATTTAGTAATGTAGTATGTTTAGGATAGTGATCCTGATAGAGCTTGAATGCATTTTGCATTCCATGTTTTTTCTCAGATGTATTTAGGTTTTCATTTTGAATATTTATATATTTAAATTATTCCATATTATTTCCGAAAAACACTAAATTTCTTATTTCAAAAGCAATGAAACATCCCCAAATCATTATGCCTGTACCCCGTGCGCAACATAAGGAAATAGGTTTTTCGGATTCACTTCTTAATTCAGATTTTACCATAAATTAATTCGTCTATTGAACCCAAATATATTAAATTTTGACTTTTCTGCAAATGTAACATTGTTCCAATATGATAAAACTCCGTTTAATATAGATTTTGGGAAACCCAGGCTTATTATCTTTGTTTTTACTTCCTTGTACGAAGTAAAAAGGAAGTATTGTAATCGCGAAAAGTTTCAGGCAGCATATTTTAATGAAAATATCCATTTTGACCGCTATCGAATGCAACTTAACGATGTTTTTGCGTGATATCTGTACGTAAGGACAGCATAACAGACTCTTTCCTTTAAAAAAATTATAAAACTGCTTTAAAATTAATTCTGAAGAGAATTTTTTGTGGCGTCTGTACGAACGTAGTATGTACGTACGTGCGTACGTACGTATCGCGCATAACTCAAAAACGAGTAGCCTCAGAACGTTGAAATTTTGTATATAGGACTACTATAACATGTAGATGTGCACCTCGTATTTTGGTTTCAATCGGCCGCGCCAAATGTATATAAATATATTTATAAATATATCCACTCTGTTACCCGGCTCAGTGATCTCAGTTTCTTTACTCTTACATGTTTGTAAATTGTACATTTTTTGCTTTAAAAATGATTGAATTATGTTGTTTTTATCTTCCGGTTAAGGGTTTTATGCCTTTAGTAAATCTGTATGCAATATTTTTAGAATTATCAACAATTTTAAAGTTAAGTGCCTCTAAGCCTATTTTAATAGCGGCCATTGATGTTTACATTTGAAACAGGAGACTAGTGGATTTGTTGCCAATCTAGAGAAACGTAGCTTCGCAACAACAAAGATAACGCATTCATTTATTATTGCCAATTAAATCATGATTGATTCTTTCTGGAATTTTTTCGAGGAAATAAGTGTTTGAGATTTATTTCGTAATTTTTAATATAGATATTTTGAGTTTTTAGGTATTTTTGCCTTCTCGCGAAGTGAGAACTGAATTAATTAAATGAGAAATACTCAATCGTCTGTGAAAACTGTTTCTTTTTTGTTTTGTTTGCTTAATTTCTTTTATACATCATTCTAACTTTATTATAGTATTTG